AAATTTCTTGCATATGTGCGCTTACTCCAGAAATAGTAAATAACTATCCATTAAATTTCTCACGCAAAACAGCAGTTTCTACAGTAAGAAAATCATATTCAATTTTACTGTATCACCTGTCTTATTTCAGAAGATAAAAACTTAAGTTGGGAACAACTGGGATGTCGTTTTCTGTTGATCATCTACCAACAATAGTCTCTGTGGCACTTTTCCTTTCATGGCAGTCGTAGTGAAGCGTTTTCTTTCCCATTCGCTGGATTTACACCTTGATAGGGGTGTGTTGTGTAGTTTCTTACTTGACACTGATACAGCGGTTCGTGAGACCGTTGTAATTCATTGCTTATGTTTATAAGTTTCGCCATGCCCTTCTTCTAATCGCTTAGGAGTGTTGTTTAACCAAGCCATGGCTCCACGGTGTTAAGGTTCCTACAATGCCTCAGATACAGCACTGCATTTCTGAGTTTGTTCTGAATACTGGCATTTGTACATCAGCACAGTTTGCTGCTATCCTTGATCAAATGCGTAATTAAAATTAAGTGTAAAATGTAGCTTAATATTCTGGGGTGGCTACCAGTACGATAGCTTTCCAAATCTGCCAGTAAGTGTTACATTAGAAAATTACTGAATGTGGATTTGCACGACGATTCTGCTGTAACCATTTCTTCTTGTTTCCTTCCCCAGAAAGTAATGCTCGTTTACCTACCTGAAACAGTGAAGGAAGAGAGACCTCTTCTGGCTTGACCTCACTGTCTTTCACTTGGGAAGCAGACGGTTTATCGACTGTGTCACTCTTATGCGTAGACAAATTCTAGAAATTAAAAAGTCACGCGATGCGAAACTGTTTTTGTAACGACTTCAAGACTTTTGTGACCTGTTTTAAGAAACTGCATGCTTATAAGATACCGTGCCAAAATTGTTCTGTTTTTAAAGGACATGACTAAGCTTGAAGTAAGCCTTTCAGTTGAGACTGTCCGACAGCTTTTGCAAGAGCAGAATAATCTGATTCTGCACTGGCTGAACATTCAGTCCTACCTTTGTACAAGACGACTGGCTTTAAGGTTCTGATTTCAAATTTTTATGATAATGAAATTAGCCCTAAAGTTAAAAAACTATATACGAAGTGATTTTTCAGTGGTGTGGTAATACAATATCTAGCTATGATAACTTCTCTGTTAACTGGTTTCTGGTTTTTAAATTTCTAGAATAGTTATATGCAACCGGTTGTTCATCAACAAAATTTTCAAAAGATTTACTCTGCGTTTCGGATTGAGCTGGATCCATCTTAAGTGGGAATTGTGTAACAACAAAAAACAATGTCAGATATGTCGTTATATACTGTAAAATGATCTTAAACTGCTAATGCGATCAACCAGTTGTTGATAGCTAATGTACTTCAAGCTGAGAGATGTAAATGTTATTCAGTACTTGTCTTCCTCATTAACTCCTTGTTTCTTTCTTCCAGATTAATGACAAGTCATTGTCGTTCGTGTTCACTCATTCGATGAAAGGGGGTTGACGGGAAGAATATGAAAGGAGTATGGTGCGAAAGAAACTACAAGAAGTGGAAGATTAAGCAGCGCTCCTTATATACACAAACATTAGAATGTCTGAATAGAGACAGCGGTCAGGTCTTGTAATCAATCTGAAGCAAAACACTGGAGTTGGTGACGACCAGCATTATGTATATATAAATGTCTCTGCATTTATAAAAAATTGTTATTCGCAGTTATACATGATGGTCATTCCCCAGCTTGCAACGATATCGTTGATATTGTTTTTGAAGTCATTGTTACATAATACTCTGCTGACGATGGATCACACTGGATCTGAAACAAAGATTTTGTCTAATAACACTTATATGCTGAATAAGCCCTTAGAAAATATTATGGATTAAGATATTACTATATGTAATAGTAGCTACAGAATGCACAACGCAAACCCTGGTCGACTGTAGAAAACAGGTGAAAACTCATGAGAGGTTAAAATTAAACGAACTTAAGAATCGACTCCTGATAAACGATAATATTCAAAGATTCTGAGGAATTGTTTCACTATAACATTGGGGTAACTCAACCGGATAAACATCGCTCTTACTGTTAAGAGACGCGTTTGCGGATTTCTCCTGGTTCGTATAATATTCTCGATATACCACGAATGGGGTAACAAGCCTGAGACAAAACAGTGCAATGGCCGCATAGCTGTGGATGCTGCATTTAATAAACAAGGTACTTGTGGCAGATTGTATCGAAATGGAGGTCGACGTCACAACTTAAACTTCAAGAAAATTATAATTTAGCCCGTAACGAAAGTGTACAAATGAAAGCTCAGTGCCTACAGTTCTCTGTTTGTTTCTCTGTTGTTACTGATTGAAAAGTTCTTGCTTGCCGCAGCTGAAAGGTTGTAGTCGTTATTGAATTTACAACATATTTCAGATTTTATGAGATTGGATAGATATTTCAAGATATTCAGCCTGTCTTTTTAGAAATTCGTGTCAAGCATGAATCAGATGCTTCAGAGAAGGATTTTTCTTTGGACAAACGGCTGCAAGAACCGAAGTCATGGACGTCGGAAAGAAACATGAAATCAAAAGTCAGCTGTGAAGTAATACACATTTTAATACGTAGTTATTTCATCGTACTCATTAACATGTGCCTTTGAAATCAGTCAATCATTTTGCTTCTGTAATAGATAGTGACTGATCGGTTTACAACGATTATTTGCCAATAGTATACCAGCCACGATATGACGGTAGGTATATGGACAGTAAAACAGTTCATTCACAAGTAGCATGGAGACTGTGAAATGGATGCATTTCGGATCTTGTAGTAGCGAGGCCAGATGTGGCATCAGATACGTCTGTACAAGAACGTATCAGTTTGCATAAGCGCTGTTCGTTTAGAAGTGTGTCGACCACCTATGAGGGCAACTGCGTATTGGCTCTTTATAGACATCCGTAAAATTTGAATTTGAACGGATGCGCATGATAAACAATTACACACATATTTATCACGTTTTTGTGTCGTGTTGATGTTGTTTTTATAAGTAAATTTTAGGTGGTTCATTTCGCAGTGGTATGTTGTGGCCATACCGCAATACGTCATTTAGTCATATCGCTGAAAAGCATTCTCCTATATCGCCAACGTCCCCTTCACTTGCATATTGTCACAGACACAGTTCGAGGGCAAAAAATCTTGTCACACCTTCTAAACACATGGAACATCACCAGCCGTATGTGTTTTTATTAATCACATGTTTAACTGAAGGATAAACATTGAAATTAAAGTTAATTTCTCGATATATTTATCGACGGATGCCGCATCGGACGTAGCATGGATCAAGACTTCTCACCATTCTGCCCTCAGTGGATTACTTAAACTCACCGTGCCTTCAATTTTGCCTCAGGATCTTAAAAAAGTAAGTTTTTTTGAGCGGACCCTCGATTCTGAGCATGAAACATCTGGTTTAGGTTATACTGCTCGACACCGACCTTATTTTTTTGTCTGACATAGGGATCTTGTGGGATGTATTTGATCGGTTCAACTCTAAGCAGTGTCTGGGAATTGCTGAAAATCTCTCTGACTGGTATCTGCGAAAGAACACTTCTGGTACGACCATCAGGTGGCCAGCCAAAGTAATTGTATTTTCATTTTTTTCTGGCATAGTTTTCTCTGACGACGTTAGCGGGATTTCATATAAATTTTCTTTACGAGTCGTTTGCGTTACTGATGATTAAAGTTGTTTTGCAGGGTCGGGGCTTTAATACCGGTATCGTTTTGATGCACTTGGAAAAATTGCGTGTGTTGTCTTGGACTTCGTTGTACACCAGGGTTGCTGAAGAAAATCTGAAATTTTTCAACTTTACGCACCTGGCAGATCAGGTCAGCACGTTGAACATTGTTTCTTTTTCACTGACGTTGTGTTATTATGAATTATTATACTTAATAGTTACGAAAATAACTTTTACATTGTAAGCATTAAAAATGTAACATGAATTCTTTATGCCGATGCATAATTTTTCGTTACGAAAGTCTTTCAAGCATACCCTTTTCTCGATATTTCCTACTGCACTGAATCCATGTTCAGGGAACATTTTACATTTCAGCAGTTGCCAGAACGTTGTTTAAACTGATGAACCTTATTTCCGATGTTCTTCTTTCTCTTTTCTTTCTCAGCTCTCCTATTCGATTTTTTTTCTTGTCGTTCCTCTCTTTCTTCCCGTTCTCTCATATTATCTTGCAGTAATTGCTTTTCGTTTATGTTCCTTCCTGTTCACCTGGTCTCATGAATACTAGATACTGACCAAAATTACAGCTGCGAATACAAGTTGCAGAGAAATGATTGGTTATGTGGCTGATATGCTGTGGAAGAAAGGATGCGCGGATATCTGTATGAATGAATCATACTGTCATGTTCATCGAATTCTCCAAATCGATAGACGATAAGTGCTGTCTTGCAAAGGCGTTGTTGGAATGCAAGACAGAACTTTCACGGCTGGCTGTTTCCGCTAAGTCTCATGGTTCGCGGCAAGAAGCATATCTAGTGTTGTAGAGCTTTCGTATGTTGTTAGTAGAACTACATCCGTTGGCGAAGCTCCTGGCTGCTGAATTAACAGTTTTGAATTGTTGCTTTCGCAATCATTGCAGGTTGTAAAGATGAATGAGTGAACACCTTATTACACAGATTTGTAATGTATCTTGAGCTCCATCTTTGAATATGTTTTAGTTAACCATACCCATCGTATTTATGCGGTTATTCACATTTAATTTGTAACATTTTCAATGTAAAAGCATCTTAAAAGCTTCTGCGTACTCAAGTTGTCATAGCTGAATTTTTTTACGAGTCTACAGTAAGACTTTCAGGATATCGTGAATGCCGTGATCAAAGAATTTCCCGATGTTCTCTATCAGTTGCATTGCAGTTATAATTTCCAGCTAAACCATTTATATGACAAGGCGCTGTGTCAAACTCTGGTCTCAGAACTGAAGGTAGCCACCGTTTTGATCTAGCACACTCATCGACAGCTTTCTGTCAGTTGTGACATCGCATCGTTTAGGTGCTTCATTTCAACTCTCTGGAGAAGTATCGTGAAGAGACGGATTTTTTTAATCCGTTATTCAGCCGATATCAATCTTTCGCCGAGTTAAGTGGTAGCGTTGTGCGTCATGGCTTCATGGACTGCACCCCAATGACCGTTGGTTCCTACATATCCGAGGTCAGTCTGTGTCTTTGCCAATGTTTGTACTATGAAAAAGAGCTAATAGTATGACCTTCGCTGTCAAGTCGCTTTCAGTATTGTTGCTCTGCTAATCTCGCTAATGCTGCACAGTATTCATCGGCTGTTTCTCACTCAAACATATGACTTACGACTGCTTCTGCATAGTTCAGATCATTTTGATTGGTGAACTACGCTAATTACACGATGAACAAAAGAGTATCATAACGCTTAAATAAGGCTGTGAATGTCAGACAGTGAGATTATGGAATTAGATAACAAGCAACATGCATCCCTTCTTAACATTTCGGCACCAGTGTATCTACAAGTGGTTGGTTAATGATATAACGGCATGAAAATTACCAGACATCATCATATTTATGATGTGTCTTGTTTACTGGCAGCAACATGGGCTATCTGTTATGTCAGCGCCCATATTGACTTTCTTTCACTTGCATTCTTCTTCGATGCCTATCGAACTTTATGAACTTTATGAACTGAATCAATGATTATTGTTTAAATAATCGCCAAATAGCAATCAACTGGTTTAAAATCTGGCATATTCCAACGGCTAGTTACCGTCAGAGGTAAAAAATAAACGTTTCGACAGATATTCAGTGAGTTGAACCATCCTAAACTTATTTTTGTCCCTAAACCATTTACTGAGAGTGGGCGTAAAACGAAATAATCGTTCTAAGCTCGTTTCCCCTCAGAATTAAAGGACATAAGGTCATAAAAAAAACTACCAAAGGAGATCTTATCTTCACTAAATGACGGAAGTGCGTATTGTCTGAACAAATAACACGGAGGACACACCATGCGCAGAGTGATCAACACGCAGATTGCATGGCATGAAAGCACTGCTTTGTGTACACAGACAATAATTCTGTCGTCATCTACATTATAATTTTTACATGAATGCGGGGTTGTCGTTTTGTACCGCCCTTTTTGCTTTATCCCTTTTCCTAAATAAATTTGCGTTGCCGTAGGAACTAATTTTTAGATGATGGTCTTTTTGTGCATGTTTGGGCAGCTGCTGATCCTTGTACGATACTGAATATATTTCTACCCGGTTCACAACGTGTTTTCTCTCTTAATTTGGATCCGGTTCCAGTTCTAGTACAGTCTGAAATGTGAGTTTCGTTTAGAGTTCGCAGCTGGTATTAGACAGAGGCGAATCAGCATGTGTGGAATGGCAGAGGGCAGCCTCTATTCGATACAGGACTCATTTGTTCTACACTGAATTTGATTATGAATCGGTAGGTTTCATTTTGTTTTATCTTTTTCACTAATAATCGATTTTAAGAATGACATAGATGTTTCGTTGGTTACTCAGTTGTCCTATGAGAGACTGGCAGTATTGGAGAAATTGCTTTCGAGCTGGCAAGGTCCCGCTTCAGTGACCCTATATTTGTCTGACTCAGAAGCTTATCAGTTCGTGCAGCTTCTGGGACAGTCGATATCACTGAACAGAAGAAACATCGCATATCACATCGTTTTCCGAGAAGGGGTAGGTACTGCACACAACGTTTTTCGTGCATAATTGTTTTCAATGCAGATTGCATAAGGTATTGTGTCTTATCATTTTACATTCTGTAAAATCTGGATATGCAGTAGTTACGCGTCAGTTACGATAGCAGCTCGTTGTTAACGCTTGTTTCAAGTTTACACGGAAAGATATAAAAGGAATCACCAGCTTTTAAAACTGCTTATACTGAGCTTTGTTGTCATTTACGATGGCAGCCTCTACTTTTGGATCGCTGAGACAGCAGTGTCAGATGAGATTGAGCGGCAGCACCTGAACTTCAGCACGAAATAACTCAAGTCTTGAGCAGAGACTGTCAAGGCACTTACCCATCCTCGGGGTCTTTGACCGGGCGACTGGACAAGTCGAAGTTTTTTCGCCTTTCTTTTAGAAAATATTTGCCAGCTATCCATAACTCTGCTGTGACTTTTCAACCTGGCAAAGCAACGATTGTACAAGGATTTTCCTGATTGTCTGAATCTCACGTGCATCAGCCCTGCTATTCGTCTCAGAAAGCCAATTTAATTCCCTTTTTCATGTCTAAATCCAAAGGGTGCTTTAGTGTATAGAATAATATTCTTAATGACTTTTATCATTATGTCAATATGAACGCCCATGAACGAACTATTGCGTAACTAAACTAAGACGTTTTGTCAAAGTGGATTATCGTGTTTTATAATTGGCGGACCTTCTCGAATGAGCTGTCTCATCTCTGTCTCCCTTGATGTACATCTGCATCGTCGATATTAAAACGACCTAGGTCCGGTGCGATTGTTTACAGCCGTTGCAAGCATACTGAGGTCAGTGCTTCTTTTAGTGGTCTCGCTGTATTTCAGTGAAAACAGCGTGATTCTGCGACAGTTTTGTTATGTTATAGATGATCAATTGTTCATTGAGTTCAGCGATGGTTGCATTGGAGACGAACTGGTACTAGTTCACGTTTATAAACTCTTTTTGATTCTTGATGTGAAAGGCCTCGAGATAACCATATCTATCCTTTTATCATGCTTATCAGTGTCAGTTGGTTGTCCATTTTGTAGGATTCATTTAAGTTGTTTGCGAGCGTAAGACTCAGTCTAACCGCTGTTTACTAACTGCTTTTGTATGTTCATTCTTGACTGTTAGCAGCGAAATTTATTTAGTCTCGAGGTCTCTCTACAGCTGGCATTACTTTTCACCCCTAAGTTCAAAGGAAAGCACTGAATAGCAGCCAAGCAGTTGCTTTCTTTCTTCAGTTTAGTACAGATTTGCCTCGCTTTTCTAGAGTGAGAGATATTCATTGATAAATCTTAAGTTGCCGTAAATCTGATAATATTGTGTCATAATGGTACTTCAGATTAAATTGATAATCATATTCTTTTTGAACCAGTTTCACGTTCGATTTGCTTACGTTATTCTTGTGACTACGGCTTTTAGGTGCTTTTTCCGAGCAACCATCTCAGAAACGTTGCTTTGGAAAACGTTGTCACGCCGTACGTATTCCTCGCAGATGTGGACTTCATCCCTGTCGAGGATCTGTACAACAAGTTGATAATGGCGATAAGGTATCAAGGTGAGCTTCATCCTCTTTAATATTCTTCTAGCTGTTTTTCATTAAGTGAAGTTTAGGTGATTTAAGTAACAAAGCTTTGATCGTGCCTGCTTTCGAAACCTTCGATTTTCATTTCACTTGCCCTAAAACCAAGTCTGAACTTCTGAAGATGTTGGATGAAGAAAAGGCATTCATTTTCAAGTTAGTATTATATTCCCTGTATATATTTTTGCTTTATTGTCTGAAAGTTTCTGTAGAAGCAGGGTGTGAACTAGACTTTGTCTAGAGAGCTCTCATTTTAAGCTCAGTAGTTTATAGAGGTTTCAATATCTTCAGTATATTCTGTCTAAGAACGTTGTTTATCGTATAGGTTGTGATAATTATCACTGAATTTGTGTTGAGAGGACACTTAAAGTTAGATAACGTGTAACTCCTCCAAAACCAGTCTTAGGGCATATTGCGCAGCCGCCTTCCCTGTAGTTTACCTGGTATGGGTATTTTTGCAGACTCCGTGGTATTTGAGTACCTGCATTGCGATGCATTTCCCGTCATTTGGTTTTTTAAACCTATGTGGCGTTCATCACAAACGATATTTCAACATCTTCTGCTCCTACAGGTCGTAGTACGATAGTTTGCCGCAGTAAGAAATATAGCGCATAACTCCTCCAAGCAAATTTGGCAGCTTATCGCTGTTATGTTTATGCAGTAGCTTACAGAGTGCTGGTTCTTGACATATCGTTCCATAATGAGCGCAAGGTGGCTCTACTAGAAAAAATGATGCGACGTGCATGTGACAGTGCAGGAGTTCAAATACCGTAGAACCGTAGCCCGCTTATGTGGCTCCTAGGTAGCTTAAACAAGGGACGGTGCAGTACGCTGTGAAGTTTGGTCTTGGAAGAGGTAAATGTTGCTTGAGATACTCTGATGTAGAAACATACTCTGATTATAATGGATACATAAGAATACGTTTCGTTTGAACTTCTGAATTGTAGGCGAGAGACATGGGCCGCTGGGCATCTGGCAACTGACTACGACCGATGGAGAAATGCTACTTCTCCTTATAGGGTTGCATCTGACTTTTTAATTTTTGATATAGATATAAATTTTGATTTGCAGGTGTACTGGAGCATGGATTTCGAGCCGTACATTGCAGTGCGGAGTGATGTAGTGCGTTACGATACGAGATTTCTCGGATACGGGTGGAACAAGGTTTCTCATATTATGGAACTGGACTCCATTGGGCACATAATTGGTTTTTTCTTCCTGCCTTTTCATTTAGTTTTTTAGTTATGAATTTATCGTCTTGCCGAACGTATTCATTGTTCACTTTCCTCATCTGTTGAGCCCTGAAGCGTCCAGGTTCCGAACGAGCTTTTTCTATCGTCAGTGCGTGAAGCTGCTCAAAGGCCAGTTCATGAAGGACCTTGCTAAGCGGTACGCCCACAATCGTAGTCGAGTTGTCAAAATTAGGGCGCACAGTTTTGACTAAATGGCAGTTTTCTACAGCCTCGCGGTGCTACCTGTAGCTGCTGTAAACTCATTTTGGCATTTTTCGCTATTCTACACTGCTTTAGCTTTGCTTGTTCTGTTCTGTACCTTTCTTTCATTCTTCGATTCGGTGCAGTTTTCAGACGTTTTATTGTTATTACCTTCCTTATGTTGTTGTTAAGTTTCAATCTCTGTTTTGATAGGGGTCGTTGCTTCATCCAGAGCGCATCTTCTACTTTCACTGTTTTGATCACTTCGATCTTAGCATACAATTTTTGTATGCAAATATTTACGCTCTCGTCTGTTTGTTATGCGTTATATTGTTTTATCATTTTACATGATCCTAGAGCTTGAAAGTTTTTACATAATAATAAACTATTTCATTTTAATGCTCAGTCAAATTATGGTGAACAACTAGCACTAGCTGTACTGTCAACCTGGCAATTGCTTTCGGCTATTGATCGGGAAGTAGGCTACCAGTAAGAAGAGATTTCTCTGAATAGTAAACAAAGGCGCGCGGTAATTTAATCACTTCATTATAATGTTATACTTATGTATGCATAGCACATTATTTTATCTGCCGGTACTAAAACCCTGTAGTCAGTCCTGTGGAGAAATCGGGATCCTGACATAATTATATAATCTGCATACAAGTAGAATATAATCCTTATTTCCTTCGACAGTTTGTGGGTTAAGCTTTGGATGTTTGCCATTGTACAGCTATTAATCTTCAATGCCAACAGTTAAGTATCTTTGGCTGCAAAAACCGATTTGGAAATGAAGCTCTTGTGGAAGTGCACGCTTAAACATGGCTGAGAACAATTAGAATAATTTTGCATAAGTTATGGTACTTTGTATAAGTGTACAACAGCTCTGTAAGTTCTAGCAACATTTTGGTAATGTTCTCGAACTGAAAGAAATATAATTTTGCTCTTCGTTTAGCATTTTACAAGATTAGGCCTCGTATACATTGAATTTCTAGACCTATTCATATTCAGTGTAAATGTTGACGTCGACATATTTCTTTTGCGCTTTCGTTCACTACTCTTGCTTAATCTGAAATGGATATGTTACCAACGTTTGCCTTCATTTCTTGAAGATTTTCACCGGTGGCTTTCTTCGCGATTATGAAATTTCTGGGACGAAAAGGTTCTTTATTTCTTGTGTTGTAGGAATCGTCGTCTCAAAACTTGACCTGACAATTATTACCAAGAATGTCGGTATTCGAGAGTGCTTTCGAAATCGATGTTTCGCGGGTGAAAGTACACTGCGCGATTGGCTTCGCGTCGCATTGTGGTCGATCAGAATTCACTTAAATTTCAGGTGGATAATCGCTACAGTGGCAGATTAAGATGCGGAAGTCCAGAAGATGGTATTTGCTGTAGCTTGATTTTCGTTTGAAGAATTTTTGGGACCAAGCGAAAGATCCAGATCCAGAGCATATGACAGATTGCAAAATAGAGCTGCTATTGCGGCAGACAGGGTCACCTGAACCACTTGGCATTTTCCACTGATGTGACCCATAGAAATTCAGACTTCTTACAATACCTGACGCATTCGCTGTACTTTGGTCTCAGCGATATAAATGTGCATTTACAAACAGCGGGCAAATGCTCATGACGTTGCATCAAATTCTGGCCTCGTAAACAACATGCAAAGCACGTTGACCTGAGATGGGGGCTTCGTGTTTACATCCTTGACAAGGCAATGGCTGGCACAGTTTCAATGACCAGCCGAATAAATATCTACACCTTTCGTTCTTGGAATCAGCTTGGCCGGCAATGTCAGTTTTTGACCTTTTCCAATGTTGACCTCTCATCACAGATTAATCAATCGGTTAACGCGAAACGGGGTCAAATGGGGCACGCCGTTCCAAAAGTTTTTAGATTCTTATCAGCCGTCACGTGATTCGTTGGTCAGTGAAGTTTCAAGGAATAACATTTTTCCGGCGGACTAAAAGAATAAGCAGCTGTTTATTATCCAGCGCTTCAGAACTTTCAGACAATGGTCTTCACTCGCACATACGGAACAGGTTCGAATTTACTATTATTACCCGGACCCTTGATAACTTCGCGGCGTGATTTTTTGTAAATATGGTATTTTGTGACCTAGTTAATGGGAGCCACCTTTCTCACTTTGTTAACCTGACCCCAAAATTAGCATGATGTGAAGTTAACGATTTACGATGAAGCTGAATTTAATCTCAGAGAAAGGACAGACATGAGTACTTATGCGAAGTTTTGAAACGACCTTCTTGCAAATCACTCAGTCTGAATAGTCAGAAGATGTGCAGAACATTGAGAGAAGCAACGGTTAACAAAAGCATGCGCTTGTCTTCAAGACCCTCTCTCCTGCAAGACAGTATTGAGCTCTCCATATCACGAACATCATAAACTTTATATGCCAAGGCTTAAAGGTTGTATATTCAGGGCCAGCAATTTAAATTTTGTCAGCTATTCTTCTTTCGAACACGCTTGATAAACAGAACCTAATCATTATGAAAACCTATTGCCCCTGATCGTCCCATTCTCACCAGACTGACTGTCCATCGTGGTACCTTTCCAGGGTCTTATATTCCGTTTTCACTTTCACGTTGACTGAATTTTGCTAATCTTTTTATGTTCATCAACCAACAGAGTATTAGTTTCAGAATTTATTGATGAAACCTGTTTACAGAATCATAACTATTCCATAATTATTAGCGATGACCTTAGAAACTTTATGCCCAGCGTTGATCCATGGCCTCTGTTAAGTTGAATTGAAAAGATATACACCATAGACATCGATAGATTACTAAAATAAGTGAAAAATCACACCGTACGTCTGTTTTCCCTCTTACTAATCGACTGCATGGGTTTTTAGGATACACTTTTCGTTCTGAGGCACCTGCTTGAAATTCCACCTTTAACAGAGCATACTGGCTTCTTTTGTCATACCCGTGTCTCTCGTCTATATCTGATCAGGTAACATATGAGTATTTTTATTAATGT